CGCAATCGATGAAATACTTCGGGTGAAGAACTTTTTGGTCCTTTGCTTTTACATCGAAAGCCAAGAACAAAGAGATGAGATATGACGGGACACGACAAACAGGAAACACCTGGTGGAGATGACCAAATCTCCAAATTAGAACAACAAGTTCAAAACTTAACAGCATTAGTTTCTCAACTCGTTGAAAGTATCAACTCCCGGAAAACCTTGCATGCATCATCTTCTAAGAAGCCCGATCGTAAGCTCAAGAAGAAGGTTGTCGAAGAGAGTGAAGAGGAAGATGATGCAACAACTGACGTAGATGAGAAAGAAGCTAAAACAGGTGACGATAAATATCTCGTAGATACGTTAAAGATTGATTTTAAGGTTGATATTCCTATCTACAAAGGTGACATAGACCCTGAGAAGCTAGACAATTGGATAGATGTATTAAAAATTTATTACACTGTGTATAAGTATTCTAATGCTCAACAGATAAAGTTTGCAAGATTGAAAATTTCAAGCCATGGCCTTACATGGTGGAAGTCTTATCATAGACGGTACAATGTATCAGATTTGACTTGGAAGAATTTCAAGATATTATTGAGGAAACAATTTTATCCAGTTGGTTACGAGGAAGAAATATGGTACAAATGGCAACACTATAAGCAGAGGTTTGGCCTGACTGTACAAGAGTATACTAAGAAGTTCCATAATCAAGTAATGGTTTTGGACATCGACGTTAATGACTACGATGTATTCATGAAGCATACTGGAGGTCTTGCCGATTGTATACACAGAACTAAAATTGTTCATCGTTGAAAGCATTGAAGATGCTAGTATGAAAGCCATTGCCATTGAAGCTAAAAACAAATGAGTTGAAAAAAGAAAGATGATAAACCAAAGTCTTCTAGTAAATCTGATTGGAAAGGAAAAGGGAAGTAGAGCAAGCATGAGCCAACGCAGAAACAATATTGTGATCACTGTCGAACCAACAAACATTCAAAGGAAAAATGTTGGATTCTTTACCCTGAATTGAAGTCGAAATATAAGAAAGGCAACTAAGGGAGCAAATTCTCTTCTTCTTTCCCTTTGTTTCCCCTCTCATACTAAAGAAGTCTATCTTCCAAAGAGAAGGTACGACTCTTACTCCTAAAATTAGGAATTAATAGTTCTACTACCAAGAAGTTTTTGGTTCACTATGAGGTTCAATTTAAGCAAGGGAAGGATAACCAAGTTGTTGATGCCTTGTCTAGATCTCCTCTCAACACTATTTCACCATCACTGCAGTCATTGGAAGAAGTTCAATTGGCTGCTATCTCTTATCCTTATTCTAGTTGGATGGATGATCTTCGAAGACACATTGAGAAAGATCCCTAATTTCAAAAAGACAATCAGTGATTGCTATGGAGGGTGATTCATCACCTATTGCCAACCTTAAATTTCAGTATGATAATGGTTTTTTAAAATACAAAGGCAGGATTGTGGTTAGACCCACTAGTGAATGGAGAGATAGAATCTTCAATGAACACCATTCTAGCCCTACTGCAGGTCATGAAGGATTCTTGAAAACATATAAGAAAGTGCCAAGATCTTTTTATTGGGAAAGGATGAAAAAAGACATTAAGGGAAGAGTTGCAGCTTGTGCAAATTGTCAAATGCATAAATATGAGACCTTATCTCCCCCTGTTACAACCTTTAAACAAGGTTTGGGCTAATATTTCAATGGATTTCATTGTTGTAAGGGAAAATCTGAGATTTGGGTGGTGGTAGACAGATTGTCCAAATACGCACACTTTGTAGCATTATCACTTTCTGCTGCATTAGTAGCTCAGCTATTCATTGATCATGTTTTTAAGCTGCATGCTATGCCACAATCAATAGTGAGTGACAGAGATCCAGTCTTCATGAGTAAATTTTGGAAAGAGTTCTTCAATCTAGGATCAGCCTTGTGTTTAGTTCAGGCTACCATCCACAAACTGACGGCCAAATGAGGTCCTCAATAGGTGTTTGGAAACCTATCTTCGAAGCTTCTATAACTTGCAGCCTAAGAAATGGGCAAATTGGCTCTCTTGGGCTAAGTATAGCTATAACACTAGCTATCACAGTTCTATCAAGATGACTCCATATGAAGCATTATATGGACAGCCTCCTCCAATCATTACCGCATATGAAAGTGGTACAACAAATGTTGACTCCTTGGACCAGGCTTTACAGGAACAAAATAGAATGTTAGCTCTTCTAAAAACTAATTAAGAAGCAACTCAGTTCAAGATGCGAGTTCAAGCATATAAACATAGGACTGAGAAAGTGTTTGCAGAAAGGAGATTGAGTTTATTTGAGATTGATCCCATATCAGCTCAAGTCTTTGGCTTCACATTCCTTTCACAAGCTGCAACCCAGGTTTTATGGTCCTTTTCAAATTCTATCCAAGATTGGTGCTATTGCTTATAAGTTGAAATTGCCTGAACACTCGAAATTACACCACGTGTTTCATGTCTCATGTATGAACAAACACTTAGGATCACAAGTGCAGACCACAGTCCCTTTACCTGTGATTACAGAAAATGGAATACTGCAAGAGTACCTGTTGCAATTTTGGAGGGAAGGATGACTGAAAGTGGTAATGCTGCTGCCACAGAAGTCTTAGTTCAATGGCAGAACCATTCTAGAGAAGATGCTACATGGGAGTTGTACCATGAACTGAAACTCAGATTTCCAGAAATTGTTAATTTTTGAAGTTCAAATTACTGTTTTTCTTGTTTCTGCAATTTGTAATTCTGGAATGTTGTTGTTTTGTGTTTTTAATTGTAAGTTTTGTTTTAAGGGGGGTATTGTTAGGATACCATACCAAATGGCACAATAAGATAGTGACAAGTGTACAGTAGGTTGTTATTAGTTAGTTGGAATTAGGAGTTCGGTTGTTAAATAGTGGTTTAAAGGCAAGACAGTTATGAAATATATGAGCAATTGTTAGTATTCTCTATGTGCAATCAAGGAAGAAGTGGAGCAAAGTTCTAATACCATCTCGTTTATCTAAGAGCCAATTTCATATCTTAGGTGATCGTAGAATGCTCTTACAGGTCTGTCCAAGAGCTGGTTTTGGAATACCTTTCTCCCCACCCACCGTGTGATTGGTCACCTTCACATTTATTCCATTAATTGTCAGTTCTGCTTCTTCCTTCCCCTCTTTTAATTTTTTTTCACGCCTGTTTTTTAAGTGATATCCATCTCCAATCTTCATTGGTACTCCATGGCTTCTTAGCTCGTGATTGTTTTTTTTTTTTTTTTGTTTTTTTTTTTACATTTCAAATTTTATTTTGTGGTTTAGTAGAAGGATTTCATCTGATTATTTCATTAAATAATTTCTATTAGCTTTCACTAGAATTAAGAGTCAAAATCAAATTTTTATGTCAGTTTAGGGTTCATACTCAATTACGTTATTAACGCAAGAGAGAGACTTGAAGTCTGCAATTTTCCTTATTGAAAGGTTTTAATTAATAAGAAATTTGAAATTGAAATTAAATGATGTGAGTTGTCCAACTCATCTGCCACCTTCCACTATCAAGTTTTGTTCCAAACATGTTTTAAAAATTATGCATAGATGTTACAAATTAATAAACACACAAAAAATAAAATAAAATAAATAAATAAACAAAAGAGTTTTTACGTACCATGATTAAAGCCTTGATGTGAATCCTTGCAAATTTGACCCCTCGTCAATCTCACCACTCCTTTTTTCCAACAAATCAAGCAAAAGATCAAGCAATTCTTCACCTCCTCTTCAACATTGCCTCCTGCATTTTTCAAGTTTTTCTTTCTCAATTCTTCACGTTTTGAAATAACCTTCCCCACCAATGCGTCGTATATCTCCTACGAGTGTCTTCAATTCTCTTCTCAAATCCCTGCAAATCCAACTTCTTGCAAAACCAAACAAAATCGGACAAATTAAACTCCCCAGAAATCCTTGTTACCTCTCTCACGACAAGCCTAGCTTCCTCGTCTCTGCCTTCACACTAGACCCCTTAAAATTGCCCAACATCATTTTGGCGATCACATTGTTGAAAAGCTTTGGTAATTCCATGGTGAGATCAACAGCTTCACCACTCTCAGCTTTTTTGGCCCGCAACCTCCAAAGCCTTGGGTACTCTTGGGTTAAAAATTGAAGCAAAGTTGCTGACATTACGGTTGCTTAGGATCATTAACGCTGAGGTTTATGATCAATTTATAGTAAGGCCATAGGGTGCAAATCCTGTGATAGAGTGATTGTAGGCCAGGCGTTCGATGGTTTGAGCACAGGATATGTAGGAGAGCTCGTGGGTTTTGAGGAACTCTTTCGCAATCTCTGGCGTGGTAACCACAATGCATGGGACGGAGCCAAGGTGGAGGGAGAATAAGGCGCCAAACCGCCGGAAGAAAGATCGGTGGAGGAGAGGGCCAAGGTGGAAGTGGCCAATGATGGGTAGGGCTAAGGGGCTTGGAGGGAGTTGGGTTTTTGATTTGGAGGTGAAGGCTGGACGATAAGAAGAGGGATGGTTAAGAGAATAGAGTAGAGGAAGGGGAGCTCGAGGACTGCCATTGTTAATTGTGAGAGGAAGAATAACGGTTGATAAGTTTTGGAAACTCTAAAGCGTGGTCCTTGACTCCTTATATGTGCATATGAAACGTGATCTTCTGTCTAAAAATGGTAATGTCCGATATACCAACGATTGAAATTATATTTTGTAAATTACATGATATAACAGTTGATGGTTGGATTTATTGTTTAAATTCTTAAAGAATGTATTCAATCATCAACCGTCACATCATGTTGTCCAGAAAATATGATCTCCCTGCAATTTTCAAAATATGGTCTATAAAATTATCTATTCTGAGGAAGGATTACAGTCAAATTTTTGCCCCTTGATTTTGCTTTATTTACCCACTGCTGCCACCAAATCTGTGTTGGGTTGGGGTAATTACTAAAAGTTAGGAGGGTAATATAGTCCGTAGGTTGAGGTGCGGGTGTAGGTTTGGTTATTTCCACACCAAAAATCGTCATCCTCTCTTCAGTAAATGGAATTAGTAGTAGCTGAACAGAGTTCCTCTCTGCAACTCCTCCTCCATTACTGCATTCGAATTTTCGACAATGGTGAGTAATTCAAACGCTTCTTCTGTTCGATCTTGTTTATTTAATTTAATTTGAATTCTTTCCGATTTTGTTTTCGGCGTATGGGTTATGAATTTCCATGTTTTCGGTACTTATATGCAGCTGATTGCTTTCCTTGCTTTTTATCCATACCGTTTGGTTCAAATAATGAAAACACGCATTGACCTGAGAAATCTTAAGAGTTGTTTACAAATTAGTAATTAACTTTGCTTTCCATCTCTGTTTCGTTATCTCTTCAATCCCTGATTTGTGAACTCTTCAATCCCTGCTTTGCGATCTCCGTTGGTTTTTCCACCAACCAATGAAGTGCCCGAAGTTTGAACATGAAATGCCCAGGAGGCCGCCCAGTGCAAGGTATCTTTTCTTTTTTAACTTTTAGCAATGTGGGCTTGACCTAGTTACTGTAATTGATAAATTATTAGTTTTGGTTGATGATTTACCTTGCGCTGGGCTTTAGTTGATGGGTTTTGCTTCCATTTGGTACTCGCGGGGTTATCCAATTAATTAGGTCAGTTTTTGTTTAATTGGGATTCTTAAATTTGATATTAGGGATTTTAATTTGATTGGGTTTTGGATTGCATTGTACACTGTTTCGGGTATCTTTAGCAAAATAGGATTTTTTTTTTTTTTTTTGGGGGGATTCTAGAAGTTCATGTAGTGCCTCTCTCTATTTGAGTTTGAGTTGGGGATGGTGGACGATGAGCAATTCGGAGATTTATCGCAGTGCAATTTGTCATTTCCACGGACCACCTATAATATTGGCTTTCATTTTGCTTCTTTTTCTTTGCCTATAGTAAAATATTATTGTTTATTTCCAAGATCTGAGTTTGTCATTCAGAAGAGATGCTTCATTCAGAAAATTGAAATTTCCCAAATCTTTGTTAATAGTTGTATCCCTTGCTGAAGGATTTAATTTTCGTGGATGTCTAATTTTGAGCTTTAAGTTTTCCATGTATGCAGCATTACTAGACCAAAAAAAGCGCAGTGTCGTGGAGTAATTAGGACTGTTTCTGTTCCTTTTGTTTTTTTTTTTTTTTTATGTTGAATTGACAAGTGGTTTTAAAAAATGGATAATTTTTTTACTGGGTTTAGTTTCTGTGTTTGGTTTGAGAGTCAATTCAGAGAGCTAAAAGGCAGTAAAGTTTGAATATTTACGTTTAATGTTGTACTGGGTTTGGATTAATTTTGTTTGTTTGATATTAGAAATTGAGTGATAGGGAATTCGCACTTTTCTCCCTTTTGAATAGCGTTTAACTCATTTCTCATTTTCTGTTTGGTTTCCAAGAAAATCAAGGGAAAAAAGGATAGAAGATTAATGAATTCACTGAATTGAGTTCTTTAAGTCCATTTATGATTGAAGTTATTCCCTTTGCTTTCATTTCTGTTTTGTTCTTTTGGGTTTCGAGCATGTTGAGGATGGTAAAATCAATTATTTTGATTTTGGAAGTCTACTTTGTTTTTCAGCTTTAGTGCTTGGGAGAAGCGAAAATGTGATTTCATGTATGGTGGTTGCATTTGTCTGTCATTTGAAAGGAATTCAGACAGAGAGAGAAGGGAGAGGGTAGATTTGTTGTCGGTGAGATTGAAGGATGGTCTGATGTATCCTTGCAGGTGAACTATATGCTCGCGCACCCTCATCCAGTGGAACCTGTAACTGATAGCTGCAGGTTTATCCTAATTCTCACTAAACTGGAGCGTATCTTTATCGGACTCCTCGTGTTAAAACGTCATGCGCCTACATTACTCTCAATAAGATTCCTTTACATTAAGTTTTACGTGTAGATTTTGATTTGTATCTGTGGTGACTGAATGTTATTTGTTTTGCAGATATTTTGTTCTACGTGTAGAGGGGAACATTGGTGAGCTTATATACTCTCTCATTGTTGCAGTCTCTAATGATTTAGTGAATCCTATTATCCTGTAGTTGGAACAATTCAAAGAGCGTTTTAGCCTGTATTTCCTTTCGTCATTGGCTCCTACGGTAGATTTTCCCCCTTACCCAGTTTACTGTTGTGCTTTTGACCTATAATCATACATAGGAGATACTGGGTGAGAATTTGTAGAAGGATGTTTTGAGAATCATCTGGAGAATACCTCTTTAATTCTCACTTTCTCCTTAAGAGTTGTACTTCTGGGCAGTGTGATGGGGAGATATTTTTAAATTCTTTCCAATTATAGTATAAGGTAGCATACTTTTCTTCTCGTGGTTCACCCATCTCTTGGTTATTTAAATTCTCATCAGCTCCGTTCACCCATCTTTTGGTTATTTAAATATTTATCAGCTCGGTTCCCTCATCTCTTGATCATTTAAATTCTTTAGAAATGCCTGTATTGATTTGTGATTTTGTAGGATTTACTCTGGTGAAATGTGTGTTATCTGCATTGATGCATTTTAGGGTGTGACTCTGTTCGTACTATCTTTGTAGTGCATCTTTCTGTACAAATTATTCATGCCTGTTGTGGACAAAGGTTCCAAAACCCAAAGCAAAGCGCAGACAATTTTTCTAGTATGATCTAAAATTATGGTCTACAAAATATTGTCTAAAAAATTATTAAAAAGTTGTGGTTTCATATATATATACTAAACGGACTTCAAACCAAAATAATTGTCTTTTTAGATGATCTTTAAATAATTATTAAAAGCATGAATGATTTCGATTATGATACATGTAATTATAAGTAGCCAAACAATATCCTTTAGCTATAGCTCTCTCATTGTAACATGTCACCCTATTTGATTTTTCCCTTTATACCCCAATTACGTAACCAGTTTTACCATTAAAGCTTATTTTTTGGGTACCCCTATGTATTCTAGACAAAATTTCACTTCACAACGTACACTTGATTCTATCTCACTTTATCCTTTGTAATTATTTTTCGTGTCACACGGTACCCCATTCCGTCAATTGGGTTGAGCATCAGTTTCATTAATATGGTAGGGGTCCTTTGATCTTTTCAACAGTGAATATAGTGATAGATTGAAGAAATTGTGAGTTTTAGGGATAATATTGTTTAGGGTTGCTAAGAAGGAAATTTGAGAATCACATAGGGTAATTTTTATGGTTTAAGATATCCCAAATGTAAAAATTGACTGAAAAAATCAAAGAGCCTTTGTCAAATCAACCAAACTAACGTCTCTTTGACCCAATTAAAGAAATAGAGTTAAGTGAAACACAATGGATGAGTACAGGAAACAAAGTGAGACATGACAAACTGTAGAAATAAAGTGAGACTTCATGTAATGTACATGAGGCTTAAGTAAGCCTTAATCATAAAAGTACTTATTATGATTTTTATGGGTCGAAAATGAAAACTTAATAGGGTGACATATGACTTAATGAGAGAGACAGATAAGGGCAGGGGTTGGTTTCTTACATGTAAAAAGTTATTCATCCATTTCAATGATATAGTGACATCATTTACCACACACAAACATCATAATGGGAATAATTCATTATCTTTATTATATTATGATTCTCTAAATCAAACAATCATGAGAATGTTATTTGTTATCAAAATAAACGCTAAAAAGCAACACAAACAAAGGAACAACCCACGAGCCCAAAATTAACTTATAAACAAGCAAAAGGGCCAAACACAAACTGAAAAACAAAAGGGCCAAACAAACAAAGCCGGCCCAAAAGGCAAAACATAACAGACAGCAACTAGAAAGATCCACTACTTCTGCCACCATAGAGAATTCCGATCTGCTCTAATCCTCACCCACAACCAAGCAACACCTCATCAAATGCACCATCCAATTCCGATCTGCTCCGCGAGCACATCCATAGAGTAAGGATAGCCAGCAACAAAGACAAAGAAGCCAACTATCAAGATGAAATCCGTGAAGACCCACAAACAACACTATCGAAAAAGGCAGATAGCAACAAGAAAGTGGTGGTGCTGGAAACACCCGAGCCACTAGAGCTCTACACACAATCTCAATAGGAAACATGGCTGAAAATCGAACCAAGGATAAACAAGAATGAGGCGTACCAGCGGGGTAAGAGACAAAACAAATTGGGAAACAAACAGGAGGAAGTAGTAGAAGAAAAGAGGAGAAGAACACAGCAGAGAAGGGCAGAAGAGAAGAAAACAGAAGAAGCAAAGGAAAGGAGGCAACCGACTCCAGCCGAAGTCGGAGTCGGCGCCTAAGAAGGTAGACAAGATGAAGACCCTCACCAAAGGGGAAAAGAAAACTCTCACAGAGGAGAAAATGTCTCTCACGGAAGGAGAGTTTTTTCTTGCACCCCTTTTAAGAATAGAAATAACATTATTTATCCATTTTCATGTAATTGTAAATAGAAAAGGTAAATTTGCCCAATAAGTTTGACACCCTCTTCAAGTCCTCAAACTTCTTTTTGATCAGAGTCTTCAAACATTTACAATCTGCTCACCTGCTTTATGGGTTAAGGATAAAACTCGGGATCAAAACGTGCCACTGGAATACAAATCAAATCATGGGCTCGTGGAGTTGTCACTCCTGGCCGTTCATCCATTTCCAGAACACGTTCATCACCGTTCGTATGCTTTTGATTTACCCCAACAACTTTCCAATCAAAGCACTGAACCATTGCACCAAGTAGGGCTGGCAGCATTTGCAGGGCTAGGTTTAAACCAGGGCATATCCTCCTCCCAGTCCCAAACGGAAGCAGCTGAAAATGTTGCCCCCTAACATCTAATGCACTCGCTCCATCTCCTCCACCACTGAGTGGTGCTAAGAATCTTTCAGGGTAAAAGTGCAAAGGATTTTCCCAATACTTTGGGTCCCTTCCAATGGCCCAAGCATTCACAAATAGCATTGTGTTTTCTGGGATCACATAGTTTCCAATGTTACACTTTTGTACACTCTTTCTTGGGATCATAGGCACAGATGGGTGCAGTCTCAGTGTTTCTTTTATGATGGCTTGTATGTATGGAAGGTTTGGACCGTCTGATTCTACAACTAGCCGTCTATTCCCAGCGACTCGATCAATCTCCTCCCTTGCTTTCTCCAGCACCTTCGGGTGGTTGATGAGCTCTGCTAGTGCCCACTCCATTGAAATGGCGGTTGTATCTGTACCTGCCGTGAAGAAATCCTGAAAAATCCAATTTCATTATTCTCCTAAAAGCCCTTTAATGTTAACTAACCTATCTGTTATATATAGCTCTAAATAATAGGAAAAGGCACTAAGGCGTTATGTGAAAAATTAAGCTTTGGTGTTATGCCTATGTACGCCTCATTCTCTTATTTTCTCACCCACTTTAATATGAAAATTTTATTGACAAAATTAACTTCACGCAAAATGACCTTGAAGACCTAAACAAAACAATATTCTAAAAATTAAACAGTAACAAAAGAGAATTCTTAACGTCTTGAAATTAAAATTTGATAAAACCACTTTTGTTTGCAAAGAGACCAAACAACACTCAATGACACCAAGAAATATCCAATTGCCCAAGTAAAATTGCAATCGTGCATCAGATTCCTCCTACCCACTATTCCGGACTTGAATATTTCCTTGATTTCAACGACACAATCATCAGAGAGCAACTAAAAAATAAGCGAATGGTTCATAGAGAATCTCACTTTAACATTTCTATTTGTTGTTTCAATAGCATATCCCCATAAGTTGACCTTTATTTAACATAATCGAACTGAAAGTCATACGAAAAAGAATTTTTACGTACAATGATTAAGGCCTTGATGTGCACTCTTGTAAATTCCACCTCCTCACACTCTGCACTCCCTTTTTCCAGTATATCGAGCAAAATGTCAAGAAAATCCTTCACCTCCTCGCCACCATTGCCTCCTTCATTTTTCATGTTTTTCTTTCTCAGTTCTTCACGTTCTGAAATAACCTTCTCCACCAACGCGTCAAATCTCCGATGAGTGTCTTCAATTCTCTTTCCAAATCCCTGCAAATCCAGCTTCTTGCAGAACCAAACAAAATCTGACAAATTAAACTCCCCAAAAATTCTTGTTACCTCTCTCACCACAAGCCTAGCCTCCTCGTCTCTGCCTTCAGCACTACTAGACCCCTTAGAATTCCCCAACATCATTTTTGCGATCACATTGTAGGAAAGCTTTGGTAACTCCTCAGTGAGATTAACTGCTTCACCACTCTCAGCTTTCTTGGCCAACAGCCTCAAAAGCCTTACGTACTCTTGGGTTCGAATCGAAGCAAAGTTGCTGACGCTACGGCTGCTTAGAAACTCGTTCAGGCTGAGCTTCTTGATGAATTTATGATAAGGTCCATAGGGTCCAAATGCAAGGGAGGAGTTGTAGGTGAGGCGCTCAATGGAGATGGACTGGAAGCGGGATATGAAGGAGAGCTCGTGGGTCTTGAGGGACTCTTTCGCGAGGTCTGGGGAGGAAATGACGATGCATGGGACAGAGCCAAGGCGGAGATAGAATAAAGGGCCGAACTGGAGGGAGAGTTTGTAGAAGGATTGGTGGATGAGAGGGCTGAGGAGGTGGAAGTGGCCGATGATGGGTAGGGCAAAGGGGCTTGGAGGGAGTAGGGTTTGGGATTTGGAGGCAGAGAGGGGTCGGAGAAGAAGAAATACGATGAAGAGAATTGAGAAGAGGGAGAGGAGCTCAACGACTGTCATGGCTTCTCCTTCTTGCTAGAGGAAGAATGGTTGACAAGTTGTATTCCAAAACATGGTCATTATATTATATGTACATAAACAAATACAAAGTCGTACCGTAGTCACCCAATCAGCCAAGGTTAGTTTCAGCTAACTTTCTCCTCTAAATTTTCACCGAACGCGTGCCATCTAATATTTGTACCAAACTTTTGCCAACAAACCCTAATTTCTCAATCTGCATCTCACTGCAAAAGTTCATTTTTGGGAATCCTTATCGCAGCTCAGCACTCTCCTACAAGCCTGTTGCATACTCCGACGCAGATTCTACGAGCCTCTTGCTTCTTGCTATCTCGTTTACTTAAGAACGAACTTGATATCTTAGGTGATCTTAGAAGCAACCTACAGTTTCCCAATCGAGCGCCAAGTCGGAGTATCGCTGATTGGGTCATGTCTGCTGGGATGTCTTGGCTCCTTTCCCTTCTGTATAATCTTGGCGATGCTGTACGACTTACAGCACTACGTGTATGGCTTAGAACCCTGTTTTACATGCCCAAACTCACCACTTTGTGCTGGATTACCACTTTGTACGTGAAAAGGTTTCTTTCGGCAGTCATCGAGCGTGCTTCCTTCCATCAGTTGATCATCTTTCCACACCCTTTTTCTATAAACTTCCTGTTAAGCTCTCGAATTAAAACAAAACTCCAACAAAAAATAAACCGAAAAATACATAATTTAATTTTCTCATTCAAACAAAATGTTGGTGACTAGTTCCCTAACTTCACAAACACCATAAACTACCAAAGTACACACAAAAGATAATAATGTTATATCTATTTCCCTGTAGTCAGTAAAAAATTGCAATCTGAACTAATCTATCCCCAATCTCAGAATCTCGAACTTATAAAGAGAGCACTCTTCCTTAAATTTGTTAACAGTATCGTCGTATAGAGCAGCTTCAGTTATCTACATGATCCACTCTTCCTACCTTTTCGTGTAGGAGTGGCAAGTATAAGTTAAATCTACCGTGCACTCCTATATTGTAAACCTTGTAGACTTGCCAGAAGCCTGAGAAAGAAAAAGGAGCAATAAGAAGTTATGAAACTACATTGGAAGTAATGTTAACTGTGGTAGGAGCATGCTTCAGCTCTGAACGGAAACTGAAAAAGAGGGAACTATCTGCGAGGGATGGAGCGAGAGACATGAGTAATGATAGTAAAGTCGTACAGCAAAGTGATTTTATTAGTAAATGCATCACAATCATAACCAAATGTGGATTAACGTACCATAGATGGGTGTCTTAGCACAGAAATAGTCCGGGTACTATTTCCCTGATCACCGGAAAGAAGAAGCCTCACGTGTGGAATGCTCTTCCAGGTCTGTCCAAGAGCTGGTTTTGGAATACCTTTCTCCCCACCCACCGTGTGATTGGTCACCTTCACATTTATTCCATTAAACCCTTTCAAATGAAATGTTTGTCATGTTTGAAAGCATGAACTTGATTTCAATTCAAATATTTTTCTCTCACGTTTAATTAATATAAAGACAAAAAAAAACGATAGCGGGGATGCAAATAATCTTCAAGTGATAAAGAACTGATCCGAACTACAAATTATATAACAACATCATACTTACTACAGCTAAAAATAATTTGTAGAACGACAGCTTCTCTAGGTTGATTTTAGTAAGAAAGTAATTCACTAAAGGTGAAAGATTATGTAAAGCTGAGAATTCTACACATCGTGTATCCAATGAAAACTTACCAGTACTGCAAGATTATGCTCGTGTGCTAACTTCTTTAACAGATATCCAGCAGATATCATCAAAGCACGTCCTGTAGTTATTCCCCAAGCATCAATAAATCAGCTCCCATCTTAACGAGTTAGAAACATGTAATATACCTACCGAGGTGAACCTTCCTTTTTCTTAATTATGGGAAAACATCATAAATATAAATTGAAGCAAACGACAAACTGAAGAAAACTGTTATCTGCATACAATGATGCATACCCTGTGAACCACTGTTCCCAAGAATCGGGGTGATTAGTGAAGAGATCGAATCAACAATAAGCAACCGCACCTGCTCTCCCTTCCGCATCTGGAACGAGTACATATGTTCAATAAACAGGGAATAGGAACTCTATCAAGAAATGGGAAAGGAAATGCCTCATGGCAATGTCAACCTGAGATGGCAAACTGAACTCTAGCCGGTGTAAGAGATTGAACATTGTAAAAATGTCAAACACAGGATGGCATAAAATGTTGTTCATTACTTTCTGAAAAACTCTTTGTCCAGCCTACAGATAAATTCAGTTCGGACAAATCAGACAATTTATTAGTTCACTAGGGTAAAATGGCTAGCTAAAACAAACAAAACACAGAAAATTTATTCAAAGTGATGTCGTATTGTTGTGACCTGATCAAAGGCATGGTCAGAGATATCACCAACAAAATGCACAATTCGTTCAGGTGAGAATGAGTTTCCTGTGTCCAGATAGACAACAGTACCCATGTGCTTCGTTGCAACATTTGCAGCAGATAGTAGGCAAACCTGAACAATACCAAGAATTTGAATATAATTTTGAGATATAAACGCTACTAATATCATACAGTTACTCATGGTATCACTACAAAGTTAAACATTGAACTATTGATCACAAAGTAGGTGCAACACAGTCTGCATAAGCAATGACAAAACAAATTGTGAAGTGCAATGACAAAACAAATTGTGATGTGTAAGCTGAAAATTTGAAATCATTGCCTTCACCAACTTATGTAATTGCTGAGAAACACGATTTACTTACTTGGGTTTTACCAGAGGAAGATGGACCGACAAGTTCAGTTACCTGCCCCTCACGCAATCCGCCTCTGAGTAACAAATCAATCCTGGTTTCACAACAATCCAAGAAACAGTACATTGAGTATTACTAATAGCAGTGAAAAGGAATAGGTCAGTGTGTGTTGACTAATCAAAAAGCATACCCTTCACACCCAGTTGATAATACACGTTTGAAATGCAAAGCATCATCTAAAAGCTCCAAACCATTCAACCATGGCTGGTGCTGAGAATCAATGACAGAGTGGACCTCAGTAATTCCCTGCTTAACCCATCACATGCATGATATGATTAATTGAATTGAAGGTGGATTTATGAACAGAAAACATGAATCTGTGATTACTAAAAAAAAGTGCTTATGGGAAAAACCTGCTTTAGCTTTTCAGATGTGGGATGTTGCTGAGCAGAACCAGCCAATTCATCGAGGTCGTGAATGAGGAAATCTTCCACTGCACCAAAAAAATCTCACAAAATTCAAGTTGGGTTCTTCATTTTCTCTATTGGGTATCAACTTCAAGAGACCCCAGATGTAAAGTTAGGTGCTTTTACTAGGACTGAAGCAAATTTCGAAATTGACGGAGCGGAATTATGGAACCCACCTGAGAAGATGCCATGGGAGGCGCAAAAGGTCTGGAAATTTGAGTCGATTACTGGGTGCTCTGCCTCCAGAGATTTCAAGGGTGCCATTTCTTTCGCAATACGAGTCGCGCGGTGCTTTTGGAAAAAGAGCTTTTGCAATTCCGACCGAGTTTCTCTTGGTTTTTGCTTTTACGGAATCGCAGAGACGAGTTTTTGTTCGAAGAGGGAATAGGAGCAACAGAAACGCTTTTCAGCACCGGGACTCTAGCTGTGTTGTGTAATTTGAGTTGCACTTGTAAATATTATTGAATATTGAGGATCTCTTGGTTTTTCATTTTGTTTTTTTAGTACAAGTGATATCCTAGTTTAATTTACAGTTCGAAGTTTGCCTTTGGGCTAACCATAAAATTATAGTTCGAATTTATCTTTTGAAGAGAATCGAATTTAAAATTCATGAAAAAAATATCACTAAACTGTAGTATTAAATAGCGCCCTACCAAGCCTTCGTGTTCTTGCAATAATCTAACAAGCCAAACGTTAAAATTGCATTACCAAAATTTGGAAGCACTTCAACATTTTTTTTTGTCAATCCAAGATAATATCAACATCCAACATTCCAACATGCAAAACCATCTGAATTAATTAGAGCAAGAAATTGCTAGAAATTTTTATACCAAATAAGGCAGGTCCAAAACTATACAACTAGAAAAGAAGATTGAAAAATTAAAAGGCAGAAATCCTACGAGCAAAAAGCTATTTTATTTGGAGTCTGGAGACTCTGGACCATGGAACTAGGCCTGAGCTCGATCTGTTCACTTGGGTGGAGGGAAGAAGATTGCATCAGAAGTCCTCTTCGAACGGAAAAGTTTCTCTGTTTCCGAATCCACGTTGAACGCAGCCTGGAGCACCTGAGGAGATAGAGCCTTCCAGCACCCAATGCTTCCAGCCAAGTGGGTGAATATTGGGCTGCAGCGAAGTAATTAAATGAATTAGCAACATTCAACAGCAATCGATAAACTTCTGGTGTAAAACATTGTCAACTCTCTCGAATTAAGTTTTCTGTGTGTGGTGGGAATAAATGTATGTGTGTGTTCCAAGCAACAGGATGTTATAAATGCAGAGAAAAACATAATTCAACTAGCTGAGCCTAAATCAAGAATATCGAAAGCGTAATTATGCAAGAAGAAAAAAGCAGATTAGGGGCAGGTAAAGCAATGCAGAACATATCGGATAATGTAAAGAGGAAAAACTTACTTGGGAGTAGTGATGATAGAAAACCATTCCAAGCCCTCTGGATCAGCAATCTTTGACACAACAAAGAACCTAGGAACGATGAAGAGATTACCGGCTTTGATGGTAGTTTCCAACACCCTCTTACCGTCAACACCAACAACCTGGACACGGCCACTGCCCCTAACAATATAAGTCACCTGCAGAGCCGAGTCACAAGAAAATCCAGGGGAGCACATGGCACTTCCGTCCAACCTCACAAGGTCAGCACCAAGCCCAACCTCACCGACCAAAGGAAGGTTTTTGGTATTCAAGACCACAACTCTTCCACCACCCTTAATGTCAACATCCAGGGGAGCCTCTTCGCAGTTCAATGTCATACCATCACGGTGTTCCTTCTTTGGCTCGGGCAAGGTAACTCCGCTCAACTTGACAATGCCCTTGCCGGATTGCCTGCCAACAAGAGTCTTCACAACACTCTCCTCCAAATCCCATGCCCGACCGACAAACTCAGTTGAGAAGCCAGTGAAAATGGCGTTGGAGCCATTGAGATAGAAGTCGGTAAACTCACCCCTCTTGTGAGCTTTTGAAGTGTCACCCAAGAAAAGAACAACGAACTCAGTGTCCTCCTTGTTGTACCACCAAGTGACAACTCCGAAAGGGAGGGCAATGGCATCACCCTTCTTTACTGGAAGAACCCTCTCTTCCTTCTCAGGGAGGACAATTCCGACTACACCAGTACCTAAAAGAACAAATCCCAGAAAATAAAAAACACTATTATAACAAATTAAAACCCACATTATCTTATTTGATCATAAAGTTAATCACAGTTCATCTACGAATTTCATGATTCACAAAGATAATCTTAGAAAATAAAATATAAAAAAATTAGTTTAAGCCATATGATCTTAATGATGAAATATGGACTATTCACATATAAAATTCATGATCCAGATCAATCCAATCAGAAAAAACAAATAAGATCAACCCGATCATAAAAAAATATTAATTAATGAATTAATCGCACGAACAGAAGAGAAGATTGTATACCTTGGAGGACATAAGCGACCTGGTTGGAATCAGAGTACTTGGGGAGAGCGAACCCGTCCTTCTCCAGAGCGAGCTTGGCGGCGCCGATGTTACCTTCACGGAGCATGGGAAGCTCCGACGGTGACCAGGCAAAGTAGGAGCCACCATCGCCGCCGTACACCTTCTTGGCCAACTTGGGTGAAAGATCAAGCTCCATTCTTTGCGATTATTTTCACGAACCCAGAAAAACCCAAAAGCGAGAGAAAAGTGATTGATTGAATGAATGATTGAATGCGATCGAACGGTAAGGAAGGCGTGTGTTGGGGGGTGTATATATAGTGGGGTTGAGCGGGTTTGGAGGTACGACATCCAGTTGGAGAGAGATTAGGGAGGGAGGAGGAAGGAGGTAGAATCTGATGAGGAGAGGGATTGTGAGTTCGGATTGGATTAAGGATAAAAATGGATAATCTGATCAATTTCTCATGATTAAAAGAGGATTAGTGGGACAGATGAGATTGGATATAATCTTGCTTTCTTGTCGATATATCTACTGTTATGTCTAAAATATTTGATTGGATTTTAACTAGACAGATAATGTGATTCTATTTCATATTTCAATCCTAACATTAGTTGCAAGATTTTAGTTTAATAAAACTCTATGATTTTTAGATTTTTTGGCTTTGTTCTCGCCAATAGTTGCATTGAGTGACAGATATACAGGGGACTAAAGTGGTATCGGGACCAAGATGGTCCAGGACCACTTCAAATAAGCGTAGCGTAGTAAATGAATGAATAATGAGAAGGAGGGTGAATTTGCGGATTTTCATTAATTATTATGTGTTTAGAATATGATTAGGAAAAGGATTATGGGTTAATTCGGATGAAATTTAGGATAAGTAAGATGTAATTACATTGGTACTTGGAGTCCCTCTAGTTCTCTGCGACTTTGATTTGGGATGAGGGTGGATTATCTGTGAAGTATTTAAGTACGATTAGAGGATAGTTCGTATTACAAGATAATCTATTTTTAAGGTAATATGGAGACCAACTTTTTAAAACAACATATTTGTCCTCTTTATTTTATTTTATTTTATTTTTAAAACAATAGCTTTTTATAAATTAATCCACAACACTATAATTTGTAAAATAAAATAAATAAAAAAACTATATCAATAATTATTATTGTAATAAAAAAGAATAGTTTATCCTTTCCATGCCTTCATTTTAAATTGTAGCAAACAGCCTAAATAAATAAAATATTAAGCACATGCTTGTATTATACAATTGTGCTCGTATTATATTTGTGTCGTGACTAATAAGACATTTTTTAACGTTACAAAAAAAAGTACCGCTACAAGATAATCGATTTTGCTTTATTTATAAGATGCTTGTAAAGACTTTAAAAATAATTCTAAAAAGCAAATAAAAAACACCAAAAGTTGGGAATAAATTCACCAATTGTATAAAGTTGGGAATACATTCCTTATAGATATGAGATTAGGTGTGATTTTTTTTTAAGAGGAAGCACCATGGATTGTCATCCAAGTCTTATAAAGAAAGAGATTCAAGGTCATACGTAAGAGCTCGTAAAATTAATAATACTTTGTTTTTTTTTTTTTTTGGAAACAAGTACAATATTCATTAAAACAATTCAGAATTCATACAAACTGAGGATATGTAAAAAGCATGTAGAGATATCGGGACAACTCAGATTCTAATCAGCATGTTGTTAGAGAGTTGCAGAGCAATGTAATTATTATTATCAGAGTTTAGATGAATGGAAATTAAACTCAAAATTAAAAGAAAAAACAATAAAAAAGTGTGTGATTCGTACAAACTGAGGATACATAAAAAGCATGTAGAGATATCGGGACAACTCAGATTCTAATCAGCATGTTGTTAGTGTCACATCCCGGCCCGGGCGGGACCACTTCCCGGGCCCGACTCCACTACCGTAGCACGATATTGTCCGCTTTGGGCTTACCATTCCCTCACGGTTTTGTTTTTGGGAACTCACGAGCAACTTCCCAGTGGGTCACCCATCATGGGATTGCTCTAGCCTCCTTCTCGCTTAACTTCGGAGTTCCTACGGAACCCGAAGCCAGTGAGCTCCCAAAAGGCCTTGTGCTAGGTTAGGATGGGAATATACATTTAAGGATCACTCCCCTGGGCGATATGGGATGTCACAGTTAGAGAGTTGCAGAGCAATGTAATTATTATTGTTAGAGTTTAGATGAATGAAAATTAAACTCAAAATTAAAAGAAAAAACAATAAAAAAGTGTGGCTGCTGGGATTCGAGCCCAGGTCTCCACGGCCACAACGTGGAATTCTTACCACTAAACTACAGCCACTTGGTTGTTCAATGTTGTCCACTTTTATTATATGTAACATAGGCAGTAAACCCCATCACCCAAACCCCTCACCGGCTGACGTTCGTATCTTTACTAATCGGGTCCATCGATAATCAAATAGAAAATACACTTGCCAAATTTGGTCAAATTTATTTGTTGTAGATTTTCTTTAATTTTTTACATATTAGGAGGGATGAGATTATGATTGAACCCACACTAAAGTGTATAGACATTCTTTTTTACCGCTAATGCGACAAAACGTTAGTTGCTTAGAATAGATGGATCGAAGAATATTTATTTATCCCACCGATGCATATTTTCAGAACACGCGTTGATTTGACTTAATGTTTGACATCAATGTCAAAGTACAATAGCGTCTCAAGTAGTACCTAGGGCTAAATTAGGCAGAAATTAGTTTGTTATCAATATGTTGCAAGACGTAACATTACAGCCGGACCTGATATTGTGATTATTACAATCTACTTTGTTTTTCTATTCCCTCCCCTAAATATACATATGTTACCTGAAAAACAATAAAACAATATGCACACACAACACTGATGAAATCCAACTTCTCACATCTTTCTGAGCTTCCCTTGAGAGAATAAAGATACGTTAATCACAATAAGAAACCAAAACAACCACCAAAAATCATTTAATTAAACACTGTCGTC